CTTAATAGATTAAATCTCATAACATTAAACATTTATATATATTTATTATGTTGACCTTTCAGCTGTGCCTGGCTAACAATACAGAAGTTACAATGATATGGGTCACGTGCACTCATGTTACCGTCAAATAACATAAAACTGACCTTTGGTCTGTACAAAGCTACTTGTCTTGGCTGTGTTTTAGTAGACTAGTATTTTGTAAAATACAGTCACATTTCCATTATTATACATTATATATGTATATAGATTATCAAAATATTGAAATAAGTTCTTAAACTTATTTTTCTTAAAACACAGAACAGTAGATAAAGAAGTAAAGCAAATGATTATCTCTTCTAGTTATGACCTTTGTACTGGGTTGCTAAACCTTTACAAATTTTGCACATGGAGGATATGAATTTTTTTGGGTTTTATATACACACACACATACATTTGAATAACTACAAAATCATAAATTACTACATCAATACCATAGAATTCCACTATAATTTATCAAGCTTAGTAACTATGATGCATTTTAGTCTAGGAAATATGAAATTTCAAGCAGACTAAAGATCCTTGAGATCTTGGTTCAAAAGAAAGAAATGGCATTCTAAGAATTTAAAATGGCTGAGAAAGCCATTAGGGGGAGATTCTGAGTTTCCGATTGGTTATTCATATCACATATAGAAGTGTATAAAAGGGGAGCATTTCAAAAAATGGAAAGAGGTGGGTGGGGTGCCACCGTGTTTGATTTATTACATGAGTAATATTTTAGATAACCTTGAAAGCTATTAACTGTTCAGTAAACGTAAAATCATTGATGTGTTGACTTACTTTTGAAACATGCCAAATTTAGACTATAAAAGCTTTGTATTTTGAACTAATTTATCCTTTCTTTCCAAACATAATCATGAATCCATGATCCATTCTTAATAAGGTGTACTCACTAAGCACATACACATGCAGCCTAGAAAAATGTACTGTACATTGATTACATAAAAAGGAGAGGGAGTTATACCATTCAAAAGTTGATTTTTAAATTTAACATATCTTTCATTTACTCAAAAATGAATTGTAAAATAAACTCACATTCCATTTCTAAATGAAACAAAAAAATTAGATCAATTTCATTTTAAGGCAATATCCTCTGAACTTGAGAAACTGGCAGAATGGAAACCATATAATAATAATGATAATAATAATGAGGACAAAAATTTTATTTGTAGCCTTTCTTACAAGATACCTTACAGTTTTTAAACTTATAAAAGATGGTTAGAAATCAAAAGTAATAAAGATAAATGTGATGTGTCTTAAATTACTTACATTTTTCTTTTTAAATCTGAGAAAGGGATTTTAAAACTAGCTTTTAAAAATGGACAAAAAGAGCACTTTTTTTTTTACTAATAACATACGTTAAATATAATGTGTTAGAAACTTTGAGGGAAATGATACAAAGTTCAGGTACTGAGCTTAAAAATATTGGATAAATTCAGATAAAGGTTATGTTGAGTATTCAATTATACTTAGCAATTGTGATATTACTAACTACATATTGAATTAATCACTCAGTAACATACTAGAATAAAAATTTGCACTTCACCTTAATGTAAAAATTTTACACATTTAGTGGAAAAAATGTTAATGATAAGAAATATTATTTTGGCAATATAAATTGCAAATTAAGAATTTTTTGGATATATATAGTTTCCCAGAAAGTCTTAATAGTAATTTATCTAAATCATACAAAGATTGATAATCCATCTGTAGAATTGGTTAAAAAACACAACAGAAAATTAAATATTTCTTAATTTTTTCATCCTTATAAATGTTGTGTACTTCAGTGAATAAGACCAACATAAAAGTTTTGTTAAAATGATTACTCACTTCAGAGCTTCATTCCGACGAGCTTTTTGAGCTCTAATGTAACAGGTCGTAGCAGCACTTGTAATGACTACAATGAGTGCACTAGCACAGCCAACAGCAACATAGAAAGAACTGGTAGATGCTACCACTGCTGAAGGATCTAAAAATAAAGGCCAGATCATGGAAGCTTTCAAACAACAAGATAACAAATAAGTAGGATACACTAAATGACACCAGGAAACAATACCCATTTCAGTCATCAGTCATCCTCTTGTATAGAAATGTTAATATGATTTTCCTCTTTCATAAAAATTAAACAGATATTTTATAGTGCATGAACATCACACCATTTAGTTTGGTTGTTTATACTTCTTTGATAGCAGTTTAGCTAATAAGTGAAATGTAGTCATGCATGCAGTAGGAAGGTCTTATGTTGGGCATGAAAAATGCACGATAGAAAGTTACTGGTAGAAGGAGTGATCTTGTTCAAAATGAAACATCCCGTAAATGAACAGAATAATGAACAACAGCAGGCTAGTCAAAATATTTAAAGACCTATTTCAACATACAAATGTAAGTTAATGCAGTTAATTATAAGTAAAGCAGTAGAAAAGAAATTAATACATTAAAAATTGGTAGTTCCATTATTCAAGATGCTGTTCTAAATTTATTACAATGATAAAAGAACTAATCTACCGGGCTACATTAATTTGTTCTTTTACTCACCAGTGCTACTTACTAGTTACAACTGTTTTACACTAGTAAACAAATGTTCACCATTAGTAAGCTGTTTACTTAAGTAATTGAGAAGAGATAACGTTTTGAGGGTCACAAGACTGTATTCTTTATTGAGACTGATAACCAAAACTCAATACTACCAACGTGTGGACTTGAGAAAGAAAATGTTGCTGCTACGTATATTTCTAATTAAAAATACCCTTTAAAGGTTAATTAATTGATGCAATGGGTACTAACAACATGTTGAACATTCTTATGACATGTTTCTGTCTGAATAACTGATGCCACTATACATGCTTGCATGGTGAAAAAGAATACTGTGTGAACTTAATAACATGCAAATAACAGCAACTATTGATCAAAACAGGAAATGTAGAATGAACTAAAAATTTAAGGCATTTCCTTACTTACTTATAATATTTACTTATTGGGAGGATGTTTCTATTAGTAAATGAGAAATTTGAACTAGTAAGTTACTTGTTACTAACTCATGAAATTGAGCCCTATTATGCCTATGTTAATGAATAACTGGATGCCAGATAATTTTCATCATGACAGTATTCTTCCTTTAGCATAACAAATTATAAATATTTCATTTTTAGATATGTTTAGTTTTATGAATCATTTCACAGATACATTTTGATGTTGCAATATGTATTATGGTCGATTAGTTAAGACCTTAAAAGTAAATGGAATTTAAACCAGACATTTTTTTCTTCTTATTTTACAATTAAAAAAAAAAGATGCTTCCCACTCAAATTTACTGGCAGTATTTTATATTATCCAAAGTTAATGTATATATTAAATAGAGAATTTTGAGTAACAACTTTTCCAAATTATTGGAGGTGCTGGGTGTATGTTTTATACAGTTTCAGAATGCTTAGCAGTACTTGCATAGACATATTTTGGGGATGCTCAGGACTTACAATACCCATGGAGCTGGTACCTGTGCTCAGAATTATCAATGTTAGTTTTGGGATTTCAGGTGCAAAACTTGCTTGAATAAGTCATATAGATGTGGTTGTACAAAAACAAGCAATTCTGATTAAAAACTATTAATTTCATGACACAAGGGTTAAAAGAAATTACAAATTATTGTATGAATCCTATTTATTATGCAGTCATCACTGAAATTCAAAGTAAAAAATTGTACAGTTGTAAGTATCTTTCCAGTTGACATATGTATTGACTACATCTGTAATATCTGGGACTGAAAATATAATACTTAAATCAGAATGTCACTTACCAATTAGCATTGTTCCATTTCGATTAGCATCTGAAAAAAAAAAGAAGAAAAATTCTAAAAATAATTTCTTGTTTTGTATCTTATAAGTCCAACTTGCACATCTAACAATAACTACCTTATTAGTGATCATACTGGTATAACAATTGTATTTTACTATTCTTTTTTTTCCCCATTTTAAAATGTATAATAAAACTGCTAACTCCTTATGCAAGACCAGTTATTCTACTAATTTGTAAGATTTGGGAATATGTGTTGATGAAAAAAATTAAGCACTTACAAGAATAAAACTAACTCAAATGCAACAAATTACTAAACAGTTTTACATGTAGGTGCTATCACGTGTCTAATTACAATTACCAGCTGAGGTCAGTATTATCTGCAGTATGTATGAATTAGTTATTTGTTTGATATCATATAGTTTTTCAGATTTTCTTTGGTTCATAAAACAATGTGTACACTGAAGATCTTTCAACTAGGTTACTATTGCACATTGTAAAATGCACATTACAAATCTTTGTTGCTTATAACACATACAAATGCTCCAATTCTGTAGAATGTTCTTACCTCTAGGTAACAGACTAAATAAACCATACAATTATTTTTATTGGTTCCTCAATTAAACAATATCATTTCTAGGTACCATATCCATTTATAACTTACCAAAATATATTTCACAAAAACATTTTTGGATAAATAGACATATTTAAGTAGAAAATTCAAAGAAAACCTTTTTCCCACTGAATTTCTACAATAAGTGCAATAGAAGGTTAAAAAAACAAAACAATAATTACATGTATGAATATGTTACCTTTGAGGCAGATTTTTTTTCTTCGAAGAGTTAGAGAAGTCACATTAACTGGGGATCCAGCTGTTATGTTAATGTGCAGACTCACATCTACTTCTTCACTCTTTTTGCCAGTACAAGGAAGAATCAAACGAAACACTGCCAAATTAAAAGAAGATTGTTAATAAACAGCTCCCATCCACATTAAGTTTTTCTAAAGGAAAATAAAATTAACATTTTGAGTTTTGAAAATGCAGAAAGTTATGAACTTACTGTATCATTTAAAGCAAATAAGAAAACTGAATAAATACTGTACTTGTTCTTGAGAAAGGAAATGCACACTAATAACACTGTTGTTGAACTTTTTTTTTTGAAAAAAAAAAATCTTATCAAATGCAAACTGTAGCACATGCAAGCATGTGTTTTAGCAACACAAAATATTACTTGCAAAATAGTACATAAAAAAAATCTATAAGAAAGAAAGGTATCTGTAATTTGACCCATAGTTTTAGACAAGTTAGTTTCCTTCAGAGCAACATCAGTAGCACTCAATGAAAAGCTTATTTCAAATACATGGAAAGTAAATGTAATAATTATTAAATGATGGCAAGAGGGTTACTTCCATAATTATATTTTTCTGGTATAAATTCATTACATTATAATTTCAAGTTTACCAAGGTACATTTTTATTAAATAACCAGGAACAATAAAATTACCTTGGACTTTCCTAAGAACACTTCTTATTGTTATTTAGACTTGCAAGATAACCTTATTTTATTTGGTTTCTTCTTGAAGATCTAGCTTCTAAATTCTAAAAAATGTATATAATTTTTGGAAATACAGTTTTTATGAATTCCACCAAGGTTATGAAAAAAAGAAACTGTTTGTAATTAGCACTCAAAAAATATTTAAATTTTATAAGTTTTCACATATATAATAAAACAACCAAATTTCCTAAACCTTTATGGCTGTAACTGTTTTTATACACATTAACCTACAGATGTATATTATTAATTAAAATCAGAGAAACAGCCTTTATGAGGTATCTTCCCTAGATAAAATAAATTCCTGTACACATTATACATACAATTTTGGCATGTAACTATATTTTAATTTTATATAAACACCACATTCATCTACTGTAGTTTACATGATACTGCTTAACTGCTATGTTACTTGAACTAGGTTACTATAGTTTTTTCATCAGCAGTTTGCAAATACATAATTACATGTAATGACAAGATCTACAAGGAAAAAAAACCCAAAAAATATGAAGAAAATATTTCAATAAAGAAGTCATTCATGATGTTAAGAAAACACACACGCATAATATAAATTAATTACAATTCACGAGACTAATTACAATGTTTATTGAAGATAGACCTCTTTCTTCTCAATTCAAGCCCTCAATATAAAAGTCAAAATTAATCTAAGCGATAAGAATTTACAAAACAAATAACTGGAAAAGGTTTCTGTCAGAACCTTTCATTAATTGAGAATGTTCCAAGTCAACAGTCTTCTTGCTTTATTTTGTCAGTAAAAGTTCTTAAAGTAGTTTTATATTAATAATATCACAAGCTTTAACCTATTCCAAATTATTTCTATCCTCTACTATAAACCATGAGCTAGACATATTTATTCACATCTCTCTAAAGAGGATCTAATTTAGTTTGCTATGTTTGGTTTGTTATGAATTTTGCACAAAGCTACTTGATGGTTATCTGTGCTAGCTGTCCCTAATTTAGCAGTGACAGACTAGAGAAAAGGCACATAGTCAACACAATGTACCAACAACTCTTGGGCTACTCTTTTACTAACGAATAGTGGAATTAACCATCACATTATAACACCCCACCTCAGAAAAGGTAAACATATTCAGTGATGGGAATTTGAACCCATGACCCACAGTTTGTGAGTCAAACACCTGAACCACCAGGCCATGCTAAACCTAAAAAAAAAAAATTACTTCTTTTCATTTTCCTTTCACTTTATGGCAAGAATAGTAGGACTAGGGGACACAAGTATAAATTTTGGCAAGGTAGGAGTCATCTTCAGTTAAAACAGCTACATTTTTCTAACAGGGTGGTTGGCCTCTGGAACGAGTTGCCTTCGGATGTTGTGGAGGTAGTAAATTTAAATGAGTTTAAGAGAAAGCTTGATAATTATATACACCTGGAAAAAAGTTAAGCACCCCCCGTGTTTTTTTCAAGTGATTCAGATTCGGCGTTCTT